ATAATATATATATATATATATATATATATATATATATATATATATATATATATGTACATATATATATATATACGGTATATATACGGTATATACAGACTTGGCATTTAATATGGAATATTTTTTGCACATCATTATTCATCAGTTTTTTCTTATTTTTCAGACTGATAAATGAAAATAAGGATTAAAATGGTGTTTTAATAATTTTAATTATCTCTTTGATGTCATTGTGACAGCAGTTCGTTAATGGAATTCGCCAGAGAAGCAAACAAAAACACATTGCCTATTCTATGTCATACGACAACCATTAAAAGGGATATTTTGGACCTCCATATTATCCAAATTATTGTCTGTAAAAGAGTTAAACGCTCCACAAAGGACCCTCATGTCAGTGTCTAGTCACAGTAACGGTCGCTGTTACGCCTGACTTCTTCTGGCTGCTTCCAGCGCTCTCAAGTGGCAAGGCATTCCTTGGGATAGGTTTTTAAAGTTCAATCTGGAATAACATTCCAGGCATCGGTCAAAATCTGCCCAATTTGGTCAAGTTGTGTTGTAGGACATGTAGGCCATTGATTCGGAGAGTAATGGCCTACCCACATATTGTCTATGTGGTTCAAATATGACGATTTTGATGACCAAGGAAACTGCTCATTCCCTTGGTTCTGTAAGTAAACTGCTATTAAAAGTGCTCTGTATGAACCGGCAATCTCACCGTGCAACCTAAAATTGTTCGTAAGTTGTCCCCTATCAAATGATAGCCAAGTGGTTCCCAGATTATTTCTTTATTTGATCTGGTTCAGGTTTTCGTCAATGACTACCATTGGTGTTTTGGCACCAATGTGGTATCCACTCCAAATACTGACGCTGTTAATGACCTTAGTCACTTTAGAAGCGGCACACGCTTCGTCGTTGGCCTCCTCTGGATGTCTTTAAACTCTGTTTTGACTGTTGAGCGGTACAGGTGAAATCTGACCTCAATAAAGAATGTCACGAGATTTCAGTGTTCGACCCAGAAACAGTCAAGGTCCCCAATTCAATAGAGAAACATACAATGATGTTTTGCTGTTTACAGTGGGTTCCTCGGATGTCGTCTGGTATTCCAACCTGCTAAAACAAGTTTGGTGTTCGCCAAGGGCCTAGAAAAATGCGTTTTGGTGGTAATTTACCCCTCATTCTGAACGGACTTGGTGGTTTTTGTTTAGTTGCAACAGCATATACCGAAAGACAGTGGGTCCTGTACCCTGGTGGTAAGATTTCAATACATTGGGTGTGGCCTCTGTGTAGGTACATCAGTCTGGTCATTACTCTGTAAAACTGTGCGGACCGTTTCGTTTGGCGCAATTACCTGGTTGGCAATGCCTGTCTTTTTCGCCCCATTCTGCCACAGATTAACAAATTTGTAAAGCACTGCATAGCTCATTTTACACACTGCAAACCCGACCACTTGCATGCAAAATTTCAAATTTTTCTATGCAGTAGTTGCCGACATATGGATACTTCTTTGACAGAACCATGCTTTGCCAAAGCCAAGCTTTGACCTGCCCAAAGGAGCACTACCCAATTAAATCACTGCATATTACATAATGCAGCAGCGCAACAAACCTGGTAATCAGTTAATTGGTAGCGACACACCTGACTACACACTCCTCCATTCACATATCGTATATGAGATCGGAGTTTGTGAAAAAAAAACGCATTTTCACCTAGGTATACATTAGAAACTGAAATATTCCATGTTAAATGTCAAGTATATATATATATATATATATATATATATATATATATATATAATATTTATAAATTGAAAACAAGCCTCTTAGAAATTACTCAATAAGGCAATGTTGAATGGTGCTTTGCAAAATGAGAATGAAAAATTACTTGTTATCACGCATGGACAATGGAAGGAAACAAGTAAATGCACGATCAGTACGGAGAAATAGTGTCTAATTGCTTGTGAATTTGTATGGATACTCTTCGATGCCGTGAATACAGCTATATAAAACTATATTAAAATAATTTGAGATAAATACTTGTAGTTGTTTCTGATGTTTTCAGGAAATATGGGACATTTGGTGTCTCGAAGAAAACTGTTGGTGTGGTGCAAAAAGCCATGGAAGCATATCTTAATCTTTTTCACCGTATGGACGGTAATTTGGATGCTGGGTCTCACATCCTCTTATACTTGGAAATCACTGCTAGAATCGTGTAGACTTCACTGGAAAAAGAGCCCTCTCCCCACACAATCCTCAATAGAGGACGTTTACAGAAGAGCAAAGATGGTAAAATCAGCTTGTAACATCGCCGCGTCTCCAGATGCAGACGTCAAAGCTGTAACAGAACTGTTGCGAAAAAGACTTGTAGTGCCTATCCAGTTCCTAATTGAGGACAAATATAAGGTTCTTTTCTGTCAAATTTTCAAGGCAGGGTCCACAAATGTCAAACGACTGTTCATTGTAGCCAATAAACAGAAAAATAGAACCTTGGACTTGGATTTTATGTCTGACAAAGCTCACAAAGTTTGGAAGGAAGAAAGAACCCTATACCAGTACCTCACCCCAGCTATAAAGAACTTTGAAGAAACCACAAAACGTCTGCTAGAAAATTACACAAAAGTTCTGTTTGTGCGACACCCCTTCGAGCGTCTCGTCTCCTATTATCGAATGATGTTTCATTTCACTTCCTTCGAAAGTGACGATGTCAGTGGGATTTCTTGGCACCTCTTCAATCGCGTTCGGCGTCTGTTTCATCGCCCAATGATTCCGCGAGATCGTTCCAAAAATCTCACCCAACTGTTCCCATTCAGGGATTTCATTCAGTTTGTTATTGACCACGCAAAAAATACCAAAGATGGCTCCTGGAAAGTTGATGGCTATGTGGACACCCACTGGTTGCCTATATCAGAACAGTGCTTTCCCTGCCAGGTGCGCTATGACATCATAGGCAAATTGGAAAACTTTGACGAAGATCTTGACCAAGTAGCAAAACACATCGGTATTCGTCAGAAAATTCTTTATCCTTCTTCTATGAAACGGAAAACATACGGACACGTCAAAGAGGCCTTTAAAACGCTGTCGCCCCAGCAGATCACGGAATTAAAGAGAATTTACAGCCGAGATTTCAAACTTTTTAATTATGAGCATGATGAGTGAGGAAAAGGAGGATGCAGTGAAGTGAATTTAATACAACTCTCATATTGGCAACTAAGAGAACGTTTAGAAACCTGTTAGAAATGCTGTTCATGGTAACAATTTAATTAAAAATTTACACTATGATTAACTTAGATGAAAATAACAAATAATCATGTTTAAATGGGCAGTGTTATAACACAGCATACTGTAAAGTGTGAGTCATGATTTGTTAAATCCTGAAATATTTAATTAGATAATTAGATAATTAGAAATGGTACAAAACATGATCAAAATGCAAGGATGGGTCAAGTTATGATTCATGAGTAGTGCAATTTATATTGATCCGATAATCCCGTATTCACCTTGTTCTACTATGGGTTTGACAAAACATGAATTTGCAAAAAGTTTTGCGTAAAGACGAAGAACTTGGCTATCAATTATAAAATTATAAATCTTTTATATTATTTAAAATCCTTAATAAATAAATTAAAAAGCACACAACGTTTTATTTCCTGTAACGAATCAGGATTACGAATAATTTTATTAGAGCAGTTCACATTCTTTTTTTTTCTTAAATATTACCGCTCCTTATCGTTATCGAGTTTTTCCTCAACCACGTTTTATTCCGCGGAAGTAATGCCTNTGGGTAGCGACACACCTGACTACACACTCCTCCATTCACATATCGTATATGAGATCGGAGTTTGTGAAAGAAAAAACGCATTTTCACCTAGGTATACATTAGAAACTGAAATATTCCATATCAAATGTCAATATATATTTAATATTTATAAATTGAAAACAAGCCTCTTACAAATTACCCAATAAGGCAATGTTGAATGGTGCTTTGCAAAATGAGAATGTAAAATTACTTGTTATCACGCATGGACAATGGAAAGAAAACAAGTAAATGCACGATCAGTACGGAGAAATAGTGTCTAATTGCTTGTGAATTTGTATGGATACTCTTCGATGTCGTGAATACAGCTATATAAAACTATATTAAAATAATTTGAGATAAATACTTGTAGTTGTTTCTGATGTTTTCAGGAAATATGGGACATTTGGTGTCTCGAAGAAAACTGTTGGTGTGGTGCAAAAAGCAATGGAAGCATATCTTAATCCTTTTCACCGTATGGACGGTAATTTGGATGCTGGGTCTCACATCCTCTGATACTTGGAAATCACTGCTAGAATCGTGTAGACTTCACTGGAAAAAGAGCCCTCTCCCCGCACAATCCTCAATAGAGGACGTTTACAGAAGAGCAAAGATGGTAAAATCAGCTTGTAACATCGCCGCGTCTCCAGATGCAGACGTCAAAGCTGTAACAGAACTGTTGCGAAAAAGACTTGTAGTGCCTATCCAGTTCCTAATTGAGGACAAATATAAGGTTCTTTTCTGTCAAATTTTCAAGGCAGGGTCCACAAATGTCAAACGATTGTTCATTGTAGCCAATAGACAGAAAAATAGAACCTCGGACTTGGATTTTATGTCTGACAAAGCTCACAAAGTTTGGAAGGAAGAAAGAACCCTATACCAGTACCTCACCCCAGCTATAAAGAACTTTGAAGAAACCACAAAACGTCTGCTAGAAAATTACACAAAAGTTCTGTTTGTGCGACACCCCTTCGAGCGTCTCGTCTCCTATTATCGAATGATGTTTCATTTCACTTCCTTCGAAAGTGACGATGTCAGTGGGATTTCTTGGCACCTCTTCAATCGCGTTCGGCGTCTGTTTCATCGCCCAATGATTCCGCGAGATCGTTCCAAAAATCTCACCCAACTGTTCCCATTCAGGGATTTCATTCAGTTTGTCATTGACCACGCAAAAAATACCAAAGATGGCTCCTGGAAAGTTGATGGCTATGTGGACACCCACTGGTTGCCTATATCAGAACAGTGCTTTCCCTGCCAGGTGCGCTATGACATCATAGGCAAATTGGAAAACTTTGACGAAGATCTTGACCAAATAGCAAAACACATCGGTATTCGTCAGAAAATTCTTTATCCTTCTTCTATGAAACGGAAAACATACGGACACGTCAAAGAGGCCTTTAAAACGCTGTCGCCCCAGCAGATCACGGAATTAAAGAGAATTTACAGCCGAGATTTCAAACTTTTTAATTATGAGCATGATGAGTGAGGAAAACGAGGATGCAGTGAAGTGAATTTAATACAACTCTCATACTGGCAACTAAGAGAACGTTTAGAAACCTGAAATGCTGTTCATGGTAACAATTTAATTAAAAATTTACACTATGATTAACTTAGATGAAAATAAAAAATAATCATGTTTAAATGGGCAGTGTTATAACACAGCATACTGTAAAGTGTGAGTCATGATTCGTTAAATACTAAAATATTTAATTAGATAATTAGAAATGGTACAAAACATGATCAAAATGCAAGGATGGGTCAAGTTATTATTCATGAGTAGTGCAATTTATATTGATCCGATAATCCCGTATTCACCTTGTTCTACTATATGTTTATGGGTTTGACAAAACATGAATTTGCAAAAAGTTTTGCGCAAAGACGAAGAACTTGGCTATCAATTATAAAATTATAAATCTTTTATATTATTTAAAATCCTTAATAAATAAATTAAAAAGCACACAACGTTTTATTTCCTGTAACGAATCAGGATTACGAATAATTTTATTAGAGCAGTTCACATTCTTTTTTTTTTCTTAAATATTACCGCTCCTTATCGAGTTTTTCCTCAACCACGTTTTATTCCGCGGAAGTAATGCTTGGGCATACGTATGCTTCAAGATACCCTGAGAGCGATCACTTTCATGAATGTTCGCCACCGTGATTGAACTCACTTGCTTAAATATCGATATTAAACGTCATTTTAAAATANAGCATGTCACATTCCTTTTTTTTTCTTAAATATTACCGCTCCTTATCGAGTTTTTCCTCAACCACGTTTTATTCCGCGGAAGTAATGCTTGGGCATACGTATGCTTCAAGATACCCTGAGAGCGATCACTTTCATGAATGTTCGCCACCGTGATTGAACTCACTTGCTTAAATATCGATATTAAACGTCATTTTAAAATATATACCAATAACATTACCCCATGAAATAAAAGAGATATATTGAACAAATATTAAAGCCCACCAAGAATCTGACAGGTTACCTGTTATTACATGGCTTGGGAAGTGCGGCGGTGCGTACCGGTAATTAACAAGTTTTATTAATAACGAGCTCCTAGTCAACTACCATGCATTTAAAATGCATCAGCAATTAGTAGTTAAGATGGCAGTTAATTTGAAAGACTGTCAGCTTTTAATATGATCTACCTGTAAACCACTTGAGGCGACCATAATCTCTAGCATCACATGTATTGTCACCGAAGTTAGTAAGAAAGTCATGGAATTTCCGAAGAACGTCAAAGACAAAGATAGAAGATTGTCAGCGAATGCCAGATCCTTTTCTGCCTTTTTGGTGCAACCCACACTTAGGCATAACGAAAATTGCTCAACTCCGCTCAACACAACTTTCTTAAACTTCTCTGTATTCAGCATGCAGCTCAGCTGATTCTCATAGACCTTTACCACGTACCCAGATCTGTTGCTACATTTTTGCATATTGAGGCGAGGTTTAATAAAACGCTTTTTATATACAGACACATATTTGTCTGTACATATAGCCGTCACCTGCGTCTTTCGTCTCGTCGTAGCCATCGTCGCCGTGCACTTTTACCTATAGCACAATAGGTAGGAAATCATTTTACCTTTTGGCTTGAAACTTACAGAACTGATGAATATTCATAATATGCAGGTCAATTTAAAAATTCAGCATGATCGGACCATTTTATTAAAAGTTACACTGATAATACATTTCAAGAAAAACCAATAGGCCTTTTTTCTTTAAAACTACAGGAGTGATCAATCTTATAAAAATAAAGGTCGAGATCGAAAATCAGCTTGATCGGACCATTTTTACAAAGTGTATGCTGTTTTTTTTTTGCTTTTTTCAGCACATATGCAACTGATAACACATTTCAAAATCTTGTGATAAGAAATCATGCGTTATAGGAACCTTTTCAATAAGGAAATACCATTGAGAGATAAATTAAAGCACATTTCGTTAATGCCAGTGAAATGCTGTTTTTATCTACTGAACACCTAGGTTTTTAGTCATTCTACAGCAAAGGTATCCTAAATTTATAACCTTAAACTTTATCAATGTATTAACTTGTAACATGAACAATAACATCAAGTGTTTAAATCCATTTATGAATGTTTTTATCACAAATCCAAACAACCGCTTTTTACAGAAAGACATTGTTTGTTTGTCTTTTAGCACAGCATGCCTTTACCCGCCAATTATAAATGTGATAGACATATATTGTCAAATAATCAGACAGGGTGTGATTAAGACTTTTAAATTCTTTTCTTCTTTTTAGTATCATTTACTATTACCAGCTCATGCAGCCTTATGTGGCTAAAAACTGCATACCAATTTGTCCATCTACCCATATTCCAAATACTACATGCTACCAGTAGTGCAAATCATTCGGTTTTATAGTTAACAATACTAGTATATATATATATATATATATATATATATATATATATATATATATATATATATATATATATACTTTGTCTATGTGTAACAGGCATTATGTCTATGTAACAGGCATAAGGTGAAGTACATGTACGAATGTCTGTCTGTAAGTATGGATATGAAAGATTGTGTTAGTTGTGACGTCGTCGGTTGTTATTGTGCTGTACTACATTAGGAAAACAGATTTTTAAAGAATCAGTGGTTACACTTCTTTGTCAAATGCACGTCCATATTGACATCAAACCAAATCCTCTTTCATTGTTTAGTCAAATAAAATAAAATTATGTTGATTGATATTTTAATATCATTAAAGTGTATTTGATAATTAAAATCATCAAAGTGTATTTTATCCCACAGGCACTACGTGGACATCCTGGTTCGACAGGGACGACCCCAGTGGTACTGGGGACTGGGAACATGTTGGGAAATAATGTACTATTAGATTAGCTTTAAATTCTGCTCTGTTATTCTTATTACCGTTAGCTTTATTGCCTTGTACTTAAACTAAATTATCAATTTCGGAGGTCTTGAACTTATGGTATAACTGCCACTACAGTTTCTTTAAAAAATGCAGTTCATTTTGGACAGTGCTGAAAATATGTACCTCCACCCAGTAGCTAGGGTATTCCAATTTGGACCTATGATTTTGAACAGAATTATGACACTTCTTTGTAAAGGATATCGCAAAATAACTATAAACCTATCATTTATTTTTAGTGCTCCAACAACGATCCAATCAAGATTGAGTGCCGCGTCAGGGGAACCAATCAGCGTTGGGATCTAGCAAGTCAGGTGATCAGGATCAGGTGCACGCCCTCTGAGGGATTCGTCTGCCTGCACGACGATCAGCCGAATGGGCATACCCGCAAAGATTACGAAGTCCGCTTTATTTGCCTAGAGCTTAATTTGCACACGCAACCCCTAAAAATGTGTCTCTTAATCAATACAACGACATGTTCTACTATAGTAGTTTCCTGATGTCTCGTCGATTTAAGTCCGTGTTACGAAGTTTTGTTCTATTTTATTGTTTTATTATATCTATCCATTCACCCATCTATCCATCAAACAAAAGCATTTTCTCTCTTTTATCAGGGGTTCTTACCATGAACCATTTGACATCCAATGTCGCGTCAGATGAACCAAGCAGCCTTGGGATAAGGCAGGGCAGGTCACCAGGATGAAGTTCACGCCCTCTGAATGGTTCACCTGCGAAAACAGCGACCTGGGCATAATTGCTACGATTACGAAGTTCGTTTTCTGTGTCCGTTACATGTCCCATTAACAGTATATCCCATCATCATCCAGCGGACGAGGATGTGAAGCAGACAATTCCCAATTGAACGACACACAACAGAACTTCAAAAATAGTACATCAAATAGCACATCCGATACATGTAAAGAGACCTGCTTCATGATATCCACCTTGAAAGTTTTGTTGGCTGGCTATTCTTTGACTGAAATTACGGCTCAGTTGCCATTTTAAAACTGTTGCAATTAACAAAAATACACTAGTCATATTTTGTGTATTTATAAATCCTACAAAACTTCTCGTATTTCACAATTAAGACCTTGTAAACTAGAAGACCATTAAAATTGAAGTACCTGATGTCAAAAACACATCCCAAAAGTACAGAAAACACGTGTTTTTTTAATGGGTGTACATCCTGTTACGAGTATCTTAAACAGTAAAAAGAAAACACAAACTAAAAAAGTGAACATAAGATAAATAATTACTTTCTTTACATATAGTAGCTAGAATGTATGAGTCAGTCGATCTTTGCAAAATAGGGTCCACCGATCACCTTATTTTTAGGACTCACTGTAGTTAGAACTGCAGATACATAAAACAGTCACGATGTTAGCTTAAAGGCAAAGAACATAAAGTATTTTAACAAAGAGAATGTGACATTTTCAGGACCTTGATACCGTTGAATTACTGTGCTTACATTAAAGGTGGTGGTTACTGCAAATTTCTCAACAGGTTTGTAAGTGTTGACAGAAATTCACGCGTGGTTACAAAAAGGGATCCGTGATTGAGCAAGATATTATTCCCCAATCAACAGTGATTGTATGTTTAAAAACATTGAGAAAACCAAGATAAAGGCTTCCTTCAACTTGGGGTATAGTAAATATATTAGGAATACTTGATGTCGATGGGTAACAATGGATTCGATGTAAACAGTTTAAAAAACGGCGTAGCAAGCACAAATGTTAACATAGTGGAAGTCATTTCGTTACTGTAACGAAATCAAGAGAGGGAAGAATCGCTGAAGTCCACAGATTTTATGGCTTCCAAGCCTTTATAGATGACGTTTCTCCTTGGTATGTTTTTCAGTGTTATCAGAAGGACAGAGACGAGTTTAGGTGTGGTTGCACAGTTATACCGCAAAAATTAACAAGGGTTTTTTTTTTTTGTTTGGATCGTAGGTGAGATGGCTGTGTCGTGCCTGGCATCTTTTTAATATATGCGTATTTTCAAATTATGACACGGTGATCATCTGTATGTCTCTTTTTGTAACGAAACATAGAGAGACAATTTGATTATATGTCTAAACTACCTGAGGGCAGTTAAATAGTTTTCTTAAAGAAATTGTACGATTATATATTATCGCCTCTAGGTACCCCTAGGTGTAGCAGGAAATAGAGTTGTTTTTGGAGCTTATTCAAGTCAACAGTCAAAGTGCGAATACATTTAACTTTGCATAATTGACAAAGTCGTCCCTTTTTCTTTTTGACGTAATACAAGCAAAGGCGTATCTTTGAAACCCCGTGGAACGGGTTTTTTAACAGACGGCTTTTAGTAGCTTGATGCAGAGAAGGACACAGCACCGCACCGCACGAAAGAAACGTTGCACATGTAAGTTTTCTACTTATTTGGCTTAATGTGTGTTCTGCGACAGTTATTAGTTTTTCTTCTCGGTTGAACGATATGCAAAAAGTATACGTAGCTGGACTCATTGAAGAAGAAGAAGACGGCCTGGTCAAGTAAATGCTGTGAATCGTATGCTTATGAATTCCATTTAGAATACACAGTCAAATATACTTAAAATGAAGTACAGTTTGTAAGTATCAGGCCTACCCAACTACCAGACTCGGCACATAAGGATCCTGAATTAACCGGTATATCGACCACACTACCCGTTTTCAAGGTGTGTGTCAGATCGCATTTCGGAGTATCATACCCCAGAACAATTTTTGTAGGACGACCGCGGGCTCATCTTGTCGGTGTTCTGACTGATACTTCGAAATGCGATATGACACCCACCTTGAAACCGGGTAGTGTGGTCCGATATACCGGTTAATTCAGGATCCTTATAAGTTGAGTCTGGTAGTTGGGTAGGCCTGAGTATAGTTAACTATATAATGTTTCTTTTCGTTTCAGCAAAAACATGACAGGTATCTTAGTGATACATTGCATCCTGTTGGTGGTTCAGGTTCAATGTAACTACATTCTTTTCTTTTTCAATTGCACCGATTTCTCATAAACCGTTCTCGTGATTTTCAGTTATTAAAAAGTAAATGAAGAAGTATATGCGTCTGATCAAATATCCTCTTAAGATAAAAACAAGTCTTTCAAAACCTTGTGATGACGGGATAAGAAATCATGCGTTATAGGAACCTTTTCAATAAGGAAATATCATTGAGAGATAAATTAAAGCACATTTCGTTAATGCCAGTGAAATGCTGTTTTTTATCTAATGAACACCTAGATATTTAGTCATTCTACAGCAAATGTATCCTAAATTTATAACCTTATTACTTTTTCAATGAAAGTTACTTGTAACGTGAACAATAAAATCAAGTGTTTTAATCCATTTATGAATGTTTTTTATCACAAATCCATACGACCACATTTTTACAGAAAGGCATGGATTGTTTGTTTTTAGCACAGCATGCCTTTACCCGCCAAATATAAATGTGATAGACATATATTGTCAAATAATCAGACAGGGCGTGGCTTAGATTTTTACATTCTTTTCTTCTTTTTAGTATCATTTACTATTTGATTGATTTTAAATTAGTAGTATACAAAATATGTTGATAAATCACGGGCAGTGGTAGATATATGTAACATGTTTATGTTCCTTGGAAGTAAAAAGATGGATAAAGAATTGGGCTTTTTTCGACAACTTACATGTACAAGCCTTTCAGTTCGTCATTTAAATTACAAAAGTTGTCGTTTTGATGCTTAATTCCAGATTGACATATATAACCACAGTAATTTCAATGTAATACCCTCTATCGATCGTATTCTGCATTAAGAAGAGCTTTATAGTTTGACAAATACATATATTGTTACCACAGCTAGGTAACAGTCACAATCCATATCATTTTCCTCTTCTTTTAGGACATTACTGGACCAACTGGTTTGACCGCGACAACCCATCAGGGACTGGAGATTGGGAAACTTTATCTGGCCAAAAGGTGAATCGACTCTTACCTGTATTGGGCTATTTTTGCCCTTGGTTTTGGTATTTTACACTTTACCCGCCTAGTTAAAGAATAAGTTTTCTTGTGATGGTGGTGGTGGTAGGGACACAGTGGGAGGAGGGTTACAATCCTTGTTCACGGTATACTGTATGGTACTGTATGGTGATGTTAAATATCATGTAATTTGAATGGCATCAGCCCTTAATTTTGAGTAAAGGACTTGCCAGCTCAGTCTTATGCATCTAAAAACTCCATTACCAATTTTTCCATCTACCCATATTCCAAACACTACATACTGCCAGTAGTGCAAATCATTAGGTTGGATATTCAACAATACTAGTATATTTACTTTGTCTATGCGTAACAGGCATTAGGGGAAGTGTGTGGAGGGAACTGCAACCCCATCGCGGCAGAGTGTCGCGTGAAGGGAACCACCACTGTGTTCACTCGTTGGGCCGGTACAGCTCCGAACACCCTTATGTACCACTGCCTGCCCTCTAAGGGCCTGGTCTGCCGCAACTCCCAGAACACTGGGTGCTGCAAAGACTATGAGATAAGATACAAGTGTCCGTCTGCAAGTATGTATATGGAAGATTGTGTTAGTTGTGACGCCGTCGGTTGTAATTGTGCTGTTCTACATAAGGAAAACAGAGATGTTTAGAGAATCAGGGGTTGCACTTCTTTGTCAAATGCACGTCCATATTGATATCAAACCAATTCCTCTGTCATTTTTTTAGTCAAATAAAACAATTAAAATTATGTTGATTGATATTTTAATATCATTTAATTGTATTTGATGATTAAAATCATCAAAGTGTATTTTATCCCAAAGGCACTACGTGGACATCCTGGTTCGACAGGGACAACCCCAGCGGTACTGGGGACTGGGAACATGTTGGGAAAACCGGATTTAATCCTGTACGTGCAGTGTTTGAAATAATATAGTAGAATAATAACTTTAAATTCCGGTTTGTTATTCTTATTCCCGTAAGCTTTATTGCCTTGTACTTAAATTAAATTATCTTGTACTCTTTTACGTATTGGGAAGTCTTGAACTTAATGTGTAACTGCTAATACAGTTTCTAGGAAAATGTTGTGATTTTAGACAGCGTTGAAAATGTACATAGGCTCATAGCACTCCAATGTTGATCCATAGTTGTCACTTTTTTTGAAAAGGGTATCACAATTCACTTAAATACACTTACAATTCATTTTCAGTGCTCAAACAACGATCCAATCAAGATCGAGTGCCGCGTCAAGGGAACCAATCAGCGTTGGGACCTAGCGGGTCAGGTGATCAAGACCAAGTGCACGCCTTCTGAGGGATTCGTCTGCGTGAACAACGATCAGCCGAGTGGGCAGACTTGCAAAGATTACGAAGTCCGCTTCATGTGCCCATAGCTCTGCCCATGCAACCCAAAAATGCGTCTATTAATTAATACATCGGCATGTACTACATGTGGTAGTGTCCTAATATCTCTTCGATTTAAGTCATGTCGTGTTGAAAAATTGACTAGCAAAGAATAAATTTTATTGCATTTGACATTTAAACCACGTAGAGATTGGTTTCAAATTACCATTGCTTTCATTTCGAAAAAAACACCCAATTTATACAGCAATAAATTGTAGAATTTAATCAGTAAAGTGTTGTTATTGTTCTCTTTGAAGTTAATAAAAGTTTTCTTCTAATATTTGGTTTTTTAATTCTATCTATCCATAGTTTGCGGTTTAGGCATAAATCGGGAGAAGGTGTTCACAATTAAACTTTGCAGTATTTGGAGAAACAAAAGACACTGAAAAGAACGAGTACCCATCACTTTCTGTCTTTTTTGTCCTTATTACGTCTGAACTGTACTGTTTTTATTTCAAGGATGTACGTAATAGGTAGACTCCAAGCCAGCGAGGGTTATGTGACATCCACTCGCGCTAAGCACTCGTGTATGCCACATAACTCTTGCTGACTCGTGGTCTATCTATTACTTGGAGGTAGTATTGTCTACTCTGTATGTGGGTATTTTAAGACAGTTCCTAAAGGAATAAAAAACTAACGGGCATTACTTTTAACGGAACTTTTGAAGTTATATAATAGTTCTATCATGGGACATCATTATCAGATCTTTTGACATCCCCCAAAACACACACACACACACACACACACACACACACACACACACTAAATAAAAACACCTACTCCCCTTTTAACAAATGGAAGTTCCCAAGTTAGCACTGTTACAAGTAGTGAAGTGGAGCCAACGAGAGCGAAAGTGTCACAGTATAAAAGCTGATCTCTCTGCGTGGATCTTCGATCGCCTTGGGCAGCTGGACGGAAGCCGGACCAAATCGGAGCGTGAGAGCACGTGCCGCTGTGAGAGAGAGGACACGCCCTACCTTTAAGGTAAATATGACTTTTCCCCACTAAGACAAGCCTGAATATTTTTAATTTAGTCCCTTAAAATTATGCTGATACGTTTACTCATCTTATTAATTTGTTGGCGAGTCCCAAAGGAAATAAATCGATAATTATATAGAAAATGCAACTTTTGTGCCCTATGTTTTTACCATGCAGTTATGTGAAGGTACGCTAGATTGGCTATGGTACGTGATGGCCCGAATTGCTCAAGCATTATATCCCTCGCATGTTACGCTGATTTTTCACTTTGGTAAAAGTTACTTCATTGTCTTGTATAATGGAAATGGAAAAAGAATTCGTTTTAAAGTAATATATAGTCGCAATGTATTATATTGTGAGAGTATAGCTCTGTATGGGAATTTGCTCCTACTGGTATCAAAAAGATGTCGTTTATAAATATACTAAACGCTATGTCTGCCTTGAATAAGGGTCGGAACGCCATGCGTTTAGTATCTTTAAATCCACTTTATTGTTTTTTTTCTATTAGGCGCCATAGGTGTTTTTTTTATTAATATCTTTATATGCCTTTTTACATATTAGATATCACACACTGAAAAATGATTGTTGAATTTTTCCATTTTACACTAGGTTCAACATGAAGTTAGTATTGCTCGCTCTGTCTTGTGCCCTGGCACTGTCATCAGTTCAGGGTAAGATAAACAGCTCTTTTAAGATATTCAAAAATTTAAGTAATAAAGACATAAGCCTTGTATTTTTTTCTCCCAGTGCATATTTGCAAAGTTACATTACACAGTAAATATTTGAGAAGGATCTGGCGCAGTAAGAGACAATGACTAATTCAGATATTAAAGAATTTAAGCAATAAAGATATCAGTCTTGTATTTTTTTCTCCCAGTGCATATTTGAAATCGAAAAAGGCTTGCTGATGTTGACACCAAAGATTCCAGTTGTCTACATTTTTAAAAGGATTGTACTCTTGATTTTCATTTAAATATAGACTACAAGTCACATTTCATCTCGTGTTCGACATCACTTCCAGGTCATTTTTGGAGCCCTTGGTACGACCGGGATAACCCTTCAGGCCTTGGAGATTATGAAAACTTGCATGCGCAGAAGGTAAGAGACAACTGCCATGAGGTTTATTTAAAGAGTTAGTAGCTAATACATGGTACAAAATACGAACATAAGCTGATGGTTTTAAATATTGTACAAGAGATATAAGCACGAAAATGTCTTAATGAAAATGAGAGGTTAACAAAAACAAATTTGATTTTTTTTTGTTAGAAACGAGGTTACGTGTGTGGCGGATGTAAACCTATTGCAGCACAGTGTCGCGTAAAGGGGACAACTAATGTGTTTACGCGCTGGTCTGGCACGGCTCCCAATAAGTTGGTGATTCACTGTTCACCTACCAAAGGACTGGTGTGCGTTAACTCCCAGCAGGGCGGGGGATCCTGCAAAGACTATGAGATAAGATACTTGTGCCCCACTACAAGTAAGTACTCAGAGCTCTGTGGGTCAAAAATCTGGTTGAATTGTTTCATTTAACAGTCCGTAAAAAACTTTAAAGCTTTGGATCAATTTAAGATAGAAAGCTTTTTGTAACAAAATTATCGAACGCCTTTATATCCACTGTGTTAGTTGTGCGTGTTTTCACTGGGTGAGACTGCATAAGCTGTCCAGTGATTGGTTCGTGCCGCTGTAAATCAAATAATGCACGTGGTTGGTCCACACAGTGGACTAGAAAGGGTAAATTCGTACCCTTAAATTTGAACGTTGTCTTTCAATGGTCCGGTTAAGATAATTTTGTAATTTACTGGTGGACTTATTTTTTCTTTGCTGAAGTGAAACTGCACAATTTATTCCTCGAATTTAATTTTATTTCCCTTTGTTTGTCAATGTATGCATTTTAATGGTCACTCCATTTGTTTACAGGTGGGTCTTGGACATCCTTCCTGGACAGAGATGACCCTAGTGGTACGGGTGACTGGGAGAGCACACGCGCCTTTCGGGTAAGCGTCCCCACGAGGTTATTACGTAATATTCATACCGTTGATCTTTCCTTAAACTATTGATTGTATATCTTTAAATGAATAGCGGTTGTATTAAGGTACATGTATTTGTTTATGAAACGAATGCAAGGTTTTAAAACAAAGATAATAAATTATTAAAGGCTACATTTATACTGTCGATCATTAATAAAACAAGAAAAAAATAAGACCATTAGAGGACTGAGTTTTTTCGATGCCAGTTATAACTAAGCACGGACATTCTTGACTTAAATACAGTTTGTACACATTTTAGCATTGTTTTCTACTTTGATTTTCCAGAGGTTTACCAAAAATAATCTTTGCGGTGGTCGTCGTACAATGTGCGCCCAATGTCGCGCTAAACGCTCCCGCTACCCTTATTATAAAACAGGTGACAGGTACAACACTTTCCACGACTGCAACTGGGAGAATGGGTTGGTCTGCACTACATCTGTCAACAAGAAGATCTGCAAGGACTACGAGGCCAGGTTCAAGTGCCCTACGATAGGTGAGTGGTGGTTGGGCAGATTCAGGGAATCAGACATTAAACAGTGATAGTCTGACTCAGCATCAGTTGTTTTCAGAGTTACCAAGGTGTTACGTCCGTTTACGGTATGTCTCTGTACGAACAAATTAGGAAAAAAATACGCAATTCTATCAGGGAACCGTGCATGTTCATTTGACAAATTTTGTTATATCTATTTGATAAATTTTGCGTGTGAAACGTACCAGGAATGTTAACCTAAGTAAATCTTGTTAACAGTATCAAAGTAATGTCTACTAGTCAAAGAAAGTGTAAAATTATTGTCATGGCTTGGCTTAAAGGGATAATAACTCTTCGCTTTGGCCAAAAAATGAATTTTCCTGGAGTAAACAACAATTTTCCCATACTAAGCAATGGTTAATGAATCCATTTTTACATTCAAAGTTAGTCCCCAGTTTTTTTCTAAAGTTTTTTTTTTTTTTTTTTTTTTTTTTTTTGTTATAATCTCTTAAGAGATTTTAACAAAGTATAGCCATCACTGGAGGTCACGTTGTCTAAAGACAAGCTCAGATATCAGAATAATAGCTATAACTGTCGCTTTAGTGGTAAAACAGAATATATTATATTTCTATGAGTTGTTCACAATGTTTTTAATGTGAAATAAAAATCTCATACGAAGAGTTATTATCCTTTTAATTTGCAATATCTGTTAGAAGTAAGACTGGAAAATGCTTAATTTGCCTTGCATATGTTTATATATATTGCATTGCGAAGTAAAGCATTAATTGAAATGCCTCTACTGCTTCAGGTAACAGTAATTGTAGCCGGTGCGCCAAGTGGACGTCCTGGTGGGACAGAGACAACCCTAGCGGTAGTGGAGACTTTGAATACGTGGGGAAACGAGGACATAATCCGGTACGCACTGGCACGTACCATATACATGTACCAAGACTTAATTACCTCCGCCAAGGAGGTTATGTTTTCACCCCTGTTTGTCTGTTTGTTCGCCTGTCATCAACATAACTCAAAATGTTGTGGACCGATTTTGATGAAATTTGCAGGAACTGTCAGAAGTCGGCCAAGGTAGAGATGGTTAATTTTTGGTGGTGATCCGGATCAAAAATCAATTAATAATCAATAATAATAAAAAATCGCTGCCTTGGCGAGGTCTGCGCTCTCGGAGTGCTTTTCCAGTTTTAAGTATGTAGTGTATGTATTTTTACAATATAACCTCGACCCTTATTTCTTTACATTACATTTTTGCCACATATTCGTCGATCAGTTAAGTTGAATACAGCTAAGTTGCATATTTGGGGAGGCTAAGCACTTATCTAATTTCGTTTAAATTTATTGCAAAAGGGATTTAATCTATGAATCCAGTATTGTTCGTCTCTTTGGTAAGTGAATGGAGGCAATACCGACGCTGGTTGTTCTTATCTAGTCCACTGCGACATATAATGATAAACGTTTTAATCCCCTGTGACGAATATTGCTGATTTTATTTTAGTGCTCCGGCCGTGAACCAATAGATATCCAATGCCGCGTCAAAGCAACCAAGCAGTGGTGGTATACGGCGGGCCAGAAGATCAGAGCCAAGTGCACGCCCTCTGGCGGGCTGGTCTGCGTGAACAGAGATCAACCAAATGGACAATTGTGCAAAGACTACGAAGTCCGCTTCCTGTGTCCCTGACTCTTGTTTACGGCAATAACCTTTACATTCATTGTGGGGGATGTATGATTGCAAATGTTACATTAGTGTTAAGACTTTACAGCTAAAATAAAGTAATATTTGCGATATTATTGTGCTGATACTACAGCAAAGTATCGGGGTACCAATGCAGCAATGCAACTGTTTGAACGAAAAGAATTATGGCTTTTAGAGACCCGCATTTCAAAGCATTTACATTTAATTAAATCCACCATGTTACACAAGGAACAGTAAAAAGGTCGAAATGAAACAATCGTATATTCCCCATCAAGGTAAAAGTAGTATTTTTTATTATGGCATAGTGATGTGCTAGGTTTTGTTTCTCTAAACGTCATGAAGTTTATTAATATACTGTTAAAATGCAACAGTAGATGGAAATTGTTGTTGAAACTGCCCTTATACGGTTCTGAAAACTTTTGTATATCTTGTTTTTGTTACCAAAATAAATGATGCTTTTCCAGCAGGTGTTGGTTAGATCGCATGATTTGACACCAGGCATTTAAATATGCACGTTTACGGTACTGGGTAACATCTTTGAAAGTCTGTCAAATTATTCCTATGCGTTGGTGCTTTCTTGTTAAAGGGGTGAATTTGTCTTATTATAACAGACACTTTTATGTTTCCAAACATTGGTGGTGATCCGGATCAATGAATAATCAAAAATCAAAAAACTAAATCATTATAGAATGAAAATTGGGTGTAGACTTTTCTGCCTTCGCAAAGGTCTCCGCACTTGGAGTGCTTTTCTAGTTGAATTTAATTATTTCGAAATTAGGTAGGCATGTTGGTTTACATAGTCCTCCATGGAGCTGATTTTGACAAGAGAACTGTACACGATGGCTGTTTAAGGAAAAGTAAAACTTACTCCAGACCAACCTTGCATTTTAAGGAATCCTCAGCCGAAATTATAGGAAATCTTTGAGCAAAGACAGATTCTAGAAATGACCTATTCCTTTGCTAAGGAAGATTGTTAAGTGATTCCTTTCAAGTGAGATAAAGAAAGGTCTTGGAATACAAATTTCGTATAAGGTCGACTTTAAGGCTTCGTTCACATGCAAAGTCTATTTTCTAAATTTTATTTTCTATTCGCGGTATGTCTTATGATCACGGTCTGTGCCCTGAATATCCCGCGGCGTAATTACTGGCAGCGCGAGCCAGTTACTATAAGTTACTTTAAGTAACTGGCTCGCGCTGCCAGTAATTACGCCGCGGGATATTCAGGGCACAGACCGTGATCATAAGATACAGCGAATAGAAAATAGATTTTTAGAAAATAGACTTTCCATGTGAACGAAGCCTAAGTCTCCCTTAACGCTAAAGGGAGATTCTGGAATAGGTGCCTTAGTCTTTTTCATGCCCACCCTTCTTGGGCCCCTGCTTATTAAGACTATTCATATGATCATACAGTGCCTGGGGCAACTCCACAGTCGACTTTTCAAATGGCATAGATTATTGAAAACTTAAACCGCTATTAAAGTATGAACCGCATTGGCTCTCATCGTGCTCTATAACTAAAATCTCAGTAATCTCTCAGTTATTTCAGTGTAAAACAAAATGAAGGTAAAAGTATCTGAAGTCATCTAACTAGGAACCTTCCGGGCGGACTTTTGGGTGCCTTGGGACCTGTGAAAGGGAGTAGCCCCTCCCCTTGGACGAATAACCTGTTAGAACCCGGTTAAATGGCACGGCAAACAGTGGCGGAATTAGTTGGGTGTCAGGGGGTTCTGACCACCTTCGATTTCTGAAAAAATCACACCAAAGCCACCCTCTTGAAATCAGAATTTTGATTTTGCCTAGCTGAATCTTAGTTATAAACCGTACCAAATGCCCTCTAAAATACCAAAATTTTCTGGTCCCTTCGGCGGGCCCCGGGCCCCACGCCAAGGGCGGGGGGGGGGGGGGGGGGGGGGGGCTTCGCTACCGCGGACCCCTCAACCCCATCAAATAATCCCCATCAAATAATCCATATATAATGCTTATTTAGAAATCAGGCCTGTCAGGTATTCTCTTGACATCGACGTACATGTCAGTTCATTTGATATCACCCCAGTCCATTTTAATAAGATTTAAGCCTGATGTATAGCATCTATTTTATGGCAATTTGAGGGTGCGAGTGGGACCTAGATTATGACACCCGACTTTCATGATAACCATATAGGCCCTATTCAAATAGTTTTGCAATCTTTGTAAGCATATTGATTTGCTCATTTGTTTGTTTGTTTGTTGTTGTTTTTTTTTTTGTGTGATTTTTGTGCTGTGAAAAAATATCTGAAATATTAACATGGGGAAAGGCCATTGTCATGTCGTGTTGAAAAATTGACTAGCAAAGAATAAGTTTCATTGCATTTGACATTTTAACCATGTACCGGTAGAGATTGGTTTCAAATTACCATTGCTTTCATTTCGAAAATAACACCAAATTTATGCAGCAATACAGGTATATTGTAAAAAATTTAATCAGTAAAGTGTTGCTATTGTTCTCTTAGAAGTTTATAAATGTTTTCTTCTAATATTTCATTTTTTAATTCTATCTATCCATAGTTTGCGGTTTAGGCATAAATCGGGACAAGGTGTTCACAATTAAACTTTGCAGTATTTGGAGAAAAAAAAAGGGCATTACTTTTAACAGAACTTTTGAAGTCACATCGGTTCTATCATGGGGCATCAGATGTTTTGACACCCCCCCCCCAAAAAAACACACACACACGTGCGCGCACACACACACACACACACACACACACACTAAATAAAAACACCTACTCCCCTTTTAACAAATGGGAGTTCCCCAGTTAGCACTGTTACAAGTAGTGACGTGGAACCAACGAGAGCGAACGCGTCACAGTATAAAAGCTGATCTCTCTGCGTTGATCTTCAATCGCCTTGGACAGCTGGACGGAAGCCGGACCAAATCGGAGAGTGAAGAGCACGAGAGAGAGAAGAAACGCCCTACCAGCAAGGTAAATGGGACTTTTCCTCACTAAGACAATGCTGAATATATATTTTTTATTTAGTCCCTAATAATTATGTTGATAAGTTTACTTATCTTAGAAAATTGCCATTTTTGTGCCCTAAGTAAGATGGCATTTATAAGTATACCAAACGCTATGTCTGCCTTGAATAAGGGTCGGGACGCCATGCCTCATTGGTAGGAAAACGTAGTCTCTTTAAATCCACTTTATTGTATTTATTTCTCTATTAGGCGTCATATATAGGTGTTTTTATTAATATCTTTACAGGCCTTTTTTTAACATATTAGATATCCCGCACTGAAAAATGATGGTTCAATTTTTTTCATTTTACACTAGGTTCAACATGAAGTTGGTATTGCTCGTTCTGTCTTGTGCACTGGCACTGTCATCAGTT